GTGCAAGTGTTGTTATTTTGGGGCAGAGTTTCTCCGTCTTGTTGAAGTTCTGGAGCCATGGATGAAGAGAGAGAACGAGAGAGAGATGGAGAGAATACGGAAGAAAGAAGCAAAGGGTAAATGGGTAATGCGTGGAAGAGAGGAATAGGAGCGAGAGAGGAGGGCAGGAGAGAATATAAGAGAGAAGACACTCGTCGGGGCGGAGATGCCATACACGTTTCGTCACAAACGATGTGTTTCCAGTTAAATCTGGCGATCTCCTCTATGATTGACACTTTGACAGTATATATTTATGTATGTTTTATCTCTCATGCATGCCCAAATAAAATTTCAAAAAAAAAATAAATTCATATAAATATTGATTTTACTTTGATATTTTAGTCATGCAATTCTAGCTAAATTCTATTTATTTATTTATTTTTTATCTAGACTTAATAAAGACAATATTAGTACTTTATGATAAGAATATATGGTTATATTGGTGTCATTGGTCAATGTAGTGGACCCATTTGATTTTGGTATCAATACCCTTACCCTACGTAATATCTACTAATAACTAAAAGGTTTAATAAATGAAAATTTCCAAAGGGAATAAGATGGAGCGAATGGTAGATTTTAGGTTCCACACTTCTTGTAGACACATATAAAATGATATATTATTATGTTCGCAAGAGATTTGTAGTTAAAATGATTAAAAGTTTCATTTATCCTTGTATCAATTTGAGTTATTTATATTAAAAATAATATCGTATTCAATAATAGTTATATATTTATGAGTAATTAGTTGGAGGGTAAGCTTAAGTTACATAGTTGACATGTACATGTATAAATGATAGTAGTAGTAGGCTAGTGGGTGTTGGTATAGTTGAGTTAGTCATTCTATAGCGAGACGTCATCTAAGATCCTTAAATGAGGTTATATATCTTAATTGTTAAATCAAACTAACCAATTTGATACGATACCATTAAAAAAACTAATAAATTTGATCATACAGTTAAGATATATTCCCTTGTCTAAGGGCCTTACCTCACTATAGAATTCTTGATAGTTGAGATATGAAGAGGATAAATGTGGTGGGCAGGATTTTGAATTTCTAGGGTAACAGCCGTCCTATATATTTCTCTTTGTCTGGTTGTTTGGGCTAACCAGAGGTTGTGCCGATGAGACCACCATGGAGATGGAGATGGAGATATGGAGGCCCATAATCTATTACTTAATCCCCACCTAATCAAAGCCATTACAAATCCCAAAATAAATAAATTTGCAACAGAAAAACAAGTTAATTAAGGTCCTTGTTTTCTTTCTAATAATAGATTATAGATAATAGAAGAACCATGCGCTAACACCGGAGAGCCAAGAAAACCCATCTCTGCTCTCTCCTCATCCCATCCTACCAAACTACATATATCCCTACTCTCCCTCCCACCACCCACGTCCACCTTCTTATAACTTGACTGCGTACACTTTGATAAGAGGTGCAAATTAGACAGTGCAAGAAGCAAAGATGGCACGCCAAGTGATTGTCCTTGCTCTCATCTTTGTTGCCATTTCTGGGGTTATAGCACAAGAACCATCCGCACCCTCACCGGACGATGCACCAGCCTTGTCGCCTGACGCTGCCACCTCATCATCATCATCAGCTCCTTCTCCCGGCGCCTCTGATGCTGCCGCTGCCCCAACCCCTGTTAGCGATATATCTTCGCCACCTGCTCCTTCCCCTGCAGGCGGCGACAGCTGGGCAGACAGCGGGGCAGCTGCCACCGAAGCTGATGAAGCAGCTGCCCCAGAAGGAATTGTCACAGCTGAGGGACCAGTAGACCCTTCATCAGCTGAGGAAGATTATCCCGTCGATGATTTCTCTAGGCTCATCAAGAACTGAGGAGTTTACCTCTAATTAATTTATTCATTCATCAAGCTAAATTTTGTTTATATTTAATTTAATAGAGTTCCCATGCATAGATTTATTTATTAATGGTACCTCTCTTAGACCGCAAAATAATAATATATCGAAGATGATCTATGGGGGCAACCTTGCTATGCTATACTATACATATGTTATATTCTTCTTCACATGGATATTCTTTTGTTTTTGTTTTTGTATCTTCATTATTTGATCACTACTAATTTTAAGTTTATTATATTACCAATCCAAGAATTATTTGAAATTGTTTATTTGCAATAGCTCTCTGGCTTTCACTGCCAAAATGGAAACGAAACTTGGCAGCTTCAAATGTTCCATACATTCACATATTAAGTTATATATTGATGTAATCCAAGTGGCCGTTAAAAGTATTTATCTTTCTACACGAAGTCCTGTATTCGATTTTCCCTTTTTTCAATTTCACATATGTATAAATAATAATAAAATTTCTGTGTTAAAAGAACAAAGAAAAAAAAGGCAATAACCCACCCAAAAAAGCATGCTTAACAGATATTCAAACTTTGGGTATTTTTCAATATTGAAACCACTAAACTAATCAATTATCCGTGGTACTGGAGAATCATGTCATGCTTAATAAAAATGTGATATGCAAATGTAGTCATCCACTTCATCTAACATGATTCTCATGACATATTGTGGTTGTCCACTTCATTTGTCGCATAAGATGGTATGAGAATATGATAAGAGTAGAATTACTCATAATGTTTGGAATTTCTTCCTCTACCTTAACGAACGAAATAGAGGAAAGGATTTTTGAATTTCAGTAATATTAGTGTGTGTAATCATTTGACCACTCATAGCACACTGGTTTTAAAACAAAAAAATCTCACGACCCTCACCATTAATTAGTTTGCTACTAATTCAGTTACTGGACGCACACGCACCCAAAAGCAACATCCAGGACATATATGATATATCATTGAAATTAGTCTGCCTATACGGAAACCAGATCTTCAATACCAAATTACCACCAGACACAGCATAAATACTTGATGTTTTGGTTTCCGGATGAAGCAGGGACATTTTGGTATCTGTTTTGGGAGATTATCATGACTGACTACTTTTAAGCCAATCCAAATGGTTGATTAGAAATTCAAATGTTCATAATTAATGCGCGTCCATGATGATGATGGTGGAGCTCGCTCGAGACACAACAGCTCTCTTCTGAAAGAAGGTTTCAAAGTGTTGTGCTGCTGCTGCTGCACCATCATCCCAATCCGCAAGGACCAAAAACGGAAGGCCCTTGCTTTTCTTTCATTTCTAATAATAGAGGTACTACTTCTAATAAAAGCATTTTTCACGAAATCCTTGTTCTGCCACAAACACCACACAATTTTCCTACTCTATCTCCCTCCCACTCATTCACCTCCCCAAGCCTTTATAAATCTCCATTCCTTCACCACCTTCTTCCACACCAACACTCCTCTTGCTTCCGCCTTTTCCTTATATCTAACACTAAACCTACCTATCCACACAAAAAAACATCCCAAAACAAACACAAGATGGCAAATCAAGTGATCGTCCTTACTCTCATCTTTGTTGCCATTATTTCTGGGGTTGCTGCAAAGGCCAATGCACCATTGCCATCAGTCAAATCTAAGTCGCCATCATCATCACCAGCCAAAGGTCCAGCCTCCTCAAATAAGGCTAAGTCCACATCCTCCGCGCCAGCATCATCCCCCAAGTCTTCGGCTTCCTCCCCATCTGCCTCACCTAAGACTGCACCATCACCATCAACCAAAGCCGCACCAGCCAGTTCACCAACTTCCTCCGGCCCCAAGAAGCCCACCACTCTACCCCCGAAGGCTTCAACCTCTGCCTCTGGTCCATCCTCCGGCCCCAAGAAGCCCACCACTCCACCCCCAAAGGCTTCAACCTCTGCCTCTGGTCCATCCTCCGGCCCCAAGAAGCCCACCAAGGCTCCTGCTGGCGCTAAAAGGCATTAGAATCAAAATTCACAATAAGAAAAAAGGATATCCTTGTGATCACCGCGTGGTCCATGATCCTGAATTTAGTAAATCAGTAATAGCCTTTAACATTATGGGGTCTGATTGAAGACCAGGCTCATCTACTTAGTAGCAGCACCAATAAACTACATGGTCGTTTTGTTGACCTACCTCGCACATGGAAAATACAATATGTTGAAGGAGCCAAAAAAATTATTAACGAAGTGTTGAAAAACTGTAGTGATCATTTTTAATGAAAACATCTTTGTATTTTTCTGCTCGAAGCTGTCTTCTAAGATCATTGGGATCAGGTTGCTTGCCCATACATCATTGCTGATTTGTTTGTTTGAAATTGACTGGCTGAGTTATTTTGCAAATTGTTGAAGAGCAGGATGGATGAAATCAGTTTCTGCAACAACAAAAAATAGTCTATGCACACTCCAATGGCCATCATGCCAGTTGATTCTAGCTAAGTATTATCCAACCAATAAATAATTCATCAAATTGAAGGTAAAACAAACGACAGAAAATCTTATTATTTTGGAATGTAAACACAAAAAACAACATTAGTCATTCGTGTACAATTGGTATGACATCTGAAAAAGAAAGGTATTCATCTTAAATAGAAAATTTGAGGAAATTCCTCGAATAAAATGAACTTCCAATTGAAATATATCTTATGCAACTAATAAAAAATCAGGGAATGGCACTGTTTCTCTTCACGGGCCAGAGGCTCCCACAATGCCAAATAATAAAAACTTGAAGTGGCAGCTGGTTTGGTACCTATAACCGTAACTTATGGAGCTCTGTCAAAGGGCTGTGTATCATTGTAACAAACATCCCAAACAGCTTCCATGGCATCCTTTGCAGCTGCTTCTGAGCAATAAGGATTAGCAATGACTGATTTCATAACTCTTCGTCTCACACAATCCTTCAAATGTCAAAATGGGAATGCAATGAACATCAACTACCGTATATTTGTCCAAGGAAAATATGAAAGAGAGAAAAAATCCATCCCCAATTTATTTCAATCAATTGAAACCATGATTCGGATTCATTTAAAACATGATTTAAAATTTGAAAGTGGGACATTATATATAAAAAAGGAAAAGAAAAAAAACAAAGACTCCAGATCTGGTATAAAACAGAACTTTGCAGTATATGAAAAAGGCCCTATCCCCCTTTCCTATACAACTGAAGCCTTTTGGCTTTCTTCTTTCCGTATCAAATTAAGGTAAGAGAGCATCTCACATTGTATGCGAAGAATGTAGCCCGAAGAGTATATCTTAAGTTCTTATGTAAATAAAGCTGAATAACTCACTTGTTCATGACCTCGAATCTTTACAAAACCCCTCAGCAATTCCCGTTTATAGTGGCAATCACCGCTTAGATGGCCAGCACGAATCTGTTCCAGAAAAACAAAGTGTGTATGTTTTTTTAAAAGATTAAATTGAGGTATGAAGAATTACACTACACCCGATACAAGAAAAATATTCAGTTGCTATATATTGATGCACACCTCACTACAAGCATGATGTGCACAATTAGCCCAGTTCAAGTTTGCAGCACGACAATCGTCAAAAGCATGAATTAGCTCATGTATCACCACTTGGTTGACTTCATCTTGAATGTTCATGTGATTACCGCATACCAGTATCTAGTACACATGAAGACATACAGAACAGAAAAAGAAATTAGTTTCATAACAAGCTCTTCCTGCAAATATTTACTATGCGGAAAGAACAGACCATTAAAAGAGCTTCACAAATGACCAATCAATTGATAGATACTTGAATGACCAGAAGACATGCTACTCAATCTAGCAATTTAGATACTTTCCAAGATTAAAAATTTTAAAGTTCAATGTTCACTGCAACTAGTACTATACAGATTCTACTGCATTTGCTAAATTTTCAATTACGAAATGAAGTTTCTCACATCTGTAAAAATCAAAGCTTTCGTTTAAACAAATAGAAATTCAGAGGAATCGTAATTGTATTGTTGTACCCCTTCACCACGGGCATAACCGCCAGCAATCTGCTTGTCGCAATGAACGGCCTTGATGAACCTGTCCCCAATCCCACATCCGGCTTGCTCCAAATGCTTCAACAGAAATTTCACCATTGGAACTGTTGCAGAAAACGTGTTTGGTGTTAGAGAATTAGGAAGAAAACAAACGAAAACCAAAGAGAAACCCCAGATGCCGTGAACCTCTAAACCCTAAACCCTTAATCCCAATTAGATTTTCATGAAAATGAGTTGTTAAAAACAGAAAATAAAAAGGTGAAAAAGAAAGTAGAAGAGTACTCCGGAGGCTTCGTTGAATCATGTCTTGGCATTCCTCCAGGGTTTTGCCGCCGTTGACGGCGGAGGAGAAGCTTGAGGATCCGGGTTCCGGGGCGGGTCCATCAGCCATTTTCACCTTAATAAATCTCTGTGGCACTGGCAGAAGGGCACCAGCAGCTGATTCTCGGGTCAATAGCCGGTTCGGGTTACAAAAGTTCTGATCTCATTTTTAATATATAGCTTTTGGATTTTAATTGAAAAAATACTTGGCATTCGGCGGTTGGATCTGGGCTTATAGGATTTCCATGGCAAGCTCTGTAGTTTCTTTTCAATTGGCCCACGTTCTTTGGGCTGCAAGTTCACAAACAGGAGTCTTTTTTATCTGTTTTTGTCGGTCAATATGTGGTCAATGCTCTCCTTACCTTTGTTGTTGCCAAAAAATAAAAATAAACATATATTTGATCCCTTTTATTTTGGGGAAATTATTTGGGTCCTTACGTAGCCATTTCTCTTTGCAGATAAATCATACTTCGACATGACATATGTGCATAAATTTTTCTATTTATAATTCTTTTGGTCAGATTTCTACTTGTAATTTTAATGAGTTACTTTTGCATATGTGTATTAGTCTGTAAAGAGGAATAATAACTCCTAATAACTCCTTACATGAAAAGAGACAAGCAATGTTCTTATTTTGGAGCGAAAAGTGTTGTCCACGAGGTCTATATCAACTCACTAAAATAGAGGCTATGGACTCAATTGGATTTTCATCGTTTAATTTCATAATTATTTGGCCTATAATTCAAGATCATATATGGTATATGCTAATGTATATCAACCTTTAGAATTTAAATTGACACTAGACATGGATGGGAACTACAAAAAGAGAGAAAGAACATGATAAAGGAGGCTAACACAAATGAATGGCAAGGGAAGGTCCTTGTTTTCTTTCTTTGTTTCTAATAATAGATGTCCTAACAAAAGCCATTGTAGCAAGTTAACGCATGTGTGATGGAGAATGAAGATCCTTGTCCTTCCTGCACCAAGAAACCCGCACACCAAGTGATAATCGAACCATGACCCGCTAAGCCCGGCCAGCCAATAATCACAATTTTCTGGGCTCTCTCCTTTCTCAAAACCAAACAGAAAAGACTAACACAGATGTGTTTCCATCCACAGATTCCCTAGGCTATCTCCCTTCCATGCTAAGTCCTACAAATCTCATTCCCTTCACCATCTTAATTATGATCCACATCCATTAATTATAGTTGCGCCGTGTGTTTTTTCTCTATATATATACGTTTATATTTAGACTTACCTATTGCAATTAACCACACATTCATCGTAAACCAAAAGTAGCCAAAACAAAACACAGAGCTAAGCTTATATAACCATAAAACAGAAGAATAAGAAGTGAGAAGTGAGGAGAATAAGAAAGAAGAAGGAAAATGGCACGTCGTGAATTGGTAGTCCTTGCTTTGGTATTAGTTGCCATTGTGGGGGTTGCAGCCGCAGACTCAGGCAGCAGTCCTACACCTTCACCATCTAAGAAAGAAGACAAAGACTCAGAAAGCCGCAGCAGCAGCGACAGCAGTTCATCATCGTCGTCGTCACCATCCTCCTCTCCATCCTCCTCCTCCTCATCATCATCATCATCTGATGCCCCGACCTCCTCCTCATCATCATCAGATGACAAGGACAAGGACAAGAAGGATAAATCATCATCAGCCCCGGCCCCATCAGCATCAGCCCCCAAGTCATCATCGTCAGATAGTAAGGACAAGGACAAGTCATCATCGTCAGATAGTAAGGACAAGGACAAGTCATCATCATCACCATCTCCCAGCAGCTCTTCGGGCGGCTCTTCTTCTTCATCACCATCGCCCAAGTCTTCCTCTTCTGGCAGCCCATCATCATCTTCAGGTAACAAAGACAGTGGCAGCAGCTCATCTTCACCATCGCCTAAGTCCTCCCCATCAGGCTCTTCGGGATCTTCTGGGTCTTCAGGCTCTTCTGCCAGCTCCCCCAAGTCATCATCTTCAGGCGACAAAGATAGCGACAGCAGCAGCAGCAGCAGCAGCAGCAGCAGCCCAGCTTCATCTCCTAAGTCATCATCTTCGGGCAATAAAGACAAAGACAGCAGCTCATCTCCATCTTCTGACGACGACACCTCCACGGCACCAGCCCCCAGTGAATCAGCGTCTCCCCCTGCCCCGTCCACGGACAGTACTGAGACTCCCTCCGACATTATCACCGCTGACACACCAGCTCCATCCGACTCTTCCTCTAAAAGCGCCGCCGCAGCCCCGGCCTTCTTCTCTACTGTCTCCGCCGGTAGTGTTGCCCTACTCGCAGCTGCCACCTTGTTTGCCTTCTAAGTTAGTTACCCCTCTCACTGCATGATGCGCTTTCTATTTTTATGCCCCGAAACTTAATTCGATGTTTTTCGGTCGAGACCCTACTTCTTCTGATCATTATCATCTTTCAGGACTAGTGATTTATTCTCTGTAACATCGAATCAGTCCACGTTTTGTCCGTTTCACTCATTCAACTCATTAATTAAAGGGCATTCAACTTAATCAACGTTAGCTAGTTAAATACGTAACCCCGTGTCTGGCATTGCATGGGTAAATGATTATGCTAATATTTTCACAAAGAGAGGAATGCTACTCTTACCATATTCTTATACCACCTTACGTGGCATATGAAGTAAATAGTCATATCAATTAAAAAATATCAATAAATTATAGAAAAAAGAAAATATTATATTAATTTTAATTGATGTGGTTGTCCACCTCATCTGCCACATAAGGTGGTATGAGAATGGTATACAAATGTGGTAAAAGTAGCATTAATTTTTTCAAAAAACCAAAAAGAATTAGAATCTTAATTTAGATTTTCTATTAGTTTTTATTACGTTGTGTTTGAGAATGCATGCATGCATGCATGTATATATATTGTCTACCTCTGTACAAATTGAATTACGTGCTGCATGCATCACAAACAAACGAAGGGTTTAGGGAAGAATATTTGACCAATCAATAGCAAAAGTAAGTCAACCAATTATGATCAGCAGCTGGCTATGATATAAATAAATAAATAAAGGAATAATTGTTTCTGGAAGGTACGTAGAGCGAGTGTGTGTGTGAATCCACTCCACGCTTGTAGACCGGAACATTATTTATGGTTATGGACCGACCGACCCCAACAGGCCCCATCACTTTTCTTTGCTTAATTGACGGGGAAAAGGTTGCTACAATTTAATTAAGAATTTCTTTCTGCATGCAAATTGTGTTTCTTTCTTTTCTTATTGGGGTAATAATAATTAAACAATCTTACCAAGTCTTTTGCTTTTGTACATGCAAATTGCAAATTGCAAAGCATGGTAATTAAGGTATTTGGTAGGTAGGAGACAGCGCATGCGCAAAACTAACCCAAGCAGAGTGAAACAGTTATAGTTTAAAAGTAGTCAACACTTCTGGTTGCTGAATTTTGATTAATTAAGCTAACAGCAGAGGTTTGCAAACTCCTTGCTTTTCATTAATTACTACATAATTTCTTAATTCTCGTTGTTGATTAATTGATAATTAGCAGCGGGATCCCTTCCTGCAGATAAGGGCACCGGCAGTAGTTGTGATGGAGCCCACCAGAGAAGAAGGCCTTGCACTGAGGCTTGAAGCCCTAGCGTAGCTTGAAGATGCTCCTGCTCCTGATTGCCTGAAATATGCCCCGTTCAACATCATATCCCCCTCTGACCTCCAGTTCCAACCCCTCCACTCACTCTCTGGTGCATCCTCATGTTTAGTTACCTACGTACATCAATTAATTATTGATTAATTTGGGATAAAATAATATTGTAAACTATTCTAATACACGGAAAGAAGAATCAAACTTAAGTGCAAGAGAGTAGGCACATTGCATGGCCGACTGACATAACGACTTCAGTACAATTGTAAGGACTGAAGGCTTAAGTAACTAACAGCTTAACAAACTAACACGTGAATAGCACGTGGGTATTCTAACTTGAGCTGATGTGTTCATCTATCAACTTATGCTAAATTCTAACTAAGTAATTACCTCTTTATTGAAACGTGTATTAGGCGCCAGAAATCTATTGCCTTCGCTGTTGATAGTTGGAGCTGCACTCCCTCCAATTGCATACATTTCCCAGTGTGTGTAGTCATTGTTCACCACATGAAAATATCCATGTCTACACCTGCACATGCAATATATTATTAGGCTCTATTAATTAATTTACTTTCATATATAAAAAAACCCAAAGAGTTCGTTAATTTTGGAAAATTAAAATATCTGTACGTATCTTTATGAATTATTACCTTGGCATTCTTTGGACAAGGCCTTCTCCAAAATGATTAAAGGCAACTGTGACCTGCATGCCCTTGTCTTGCGTATAGGAATCGCTGTGCCCCAAAAGCATGACCTTATCATGATGGGTCATGTAGTTATTGGATATGGTGATGGCTGTGGATCCATGGATGGCATCAATGAGGCCATCATGGCAATTAGAGAGAGAGCAATGGTCCACCCATATATGTTTCCCACCAAATATGGACACCCCATCGCCGTCCGATATCGTCCACCAACCTGAATGCTCCGGCGAGTTTCGTATGTTCCCGTTCCCCGCCTGCTTACAGTCGTGGATGTGGATGCCATGGATAATGATGTTGGTGGCATAATGAATGGTGATGCATGGCCCTCCGGCTATGTGGACGCTCGCTCCTCTACCGTCGATGGTCTTGAACGAGTTCATGACAAGCTCTTGCTTCAGCTGAACCACCATGTCCCTTTTGAATATAATCCACAATGGCTCGTCTTGGATCACTGCGTGTCTTAGGGTTCCGGGTCTGGGGTTCACTGGGTCGTCGTCCCCAGAGTCGCTGACTACGTAGATTCGACCGTTTTTTCCTCCGATGGCGTCCTTGCCGAACCCAATGGCGCAGTCGGCTAAGCGCTCTCGGTTTTGTTCCCAGTTGGGATCACACCTCCAGCAATCGTCTATGGGGTTGCCAGTTCCACATGACAAGTAGCCCAAGTTCCTCCTAGAAGCATTGATGCTCCTATACGTACGCATTTACATACACAAAAATATTAAATATTAACGTAAATAAGCAGCAAAAGAAAAATAACAAAACATAGGTGTCGTTGCGTCATTTACCTATGGACTTCCTGTGCTACTAGTTCAGGGTCATGAAGTTGTGAGGAGGAAACAAAAGTTGCAGTTAGGAAGCAAGTGATGATGAGGAAAATCAGTAAAAGCGAGAACCCAGCCATTTGGTTTCTTGCAGGGAGAGCGAGATGGGCTTGGTTTAGTTGGAGATATGTTCTTGGTTGAGTGGGTTTATAAAGGCGTGTAAAGCCGAGAGTGATGGCGTGATTTAATTAACATAAAAAAGTGGGTCCTGCCATATCGTAATTTCAGGTTAATCTTCATCCATGGATTAGGCTCCTCTTTCTTCCTATCCTCCAATCTGTTCGTTTAAAACCGTTAAACAATAAATCTTAGACTTTCAAACCTTCCAATTGTCAAATGGTTGACTTTAATGTTTCAACATTTCCACCCCCCCACCGCACCCCGTAAACATAAAGTCTCTCGGGCCCCCTTCACTTTTACAGTTTTACTTACCTCTCTCTCTCTCATTCTCTTCATGATTGAAAGATTAATAAAGTGATTATTGTTTTGTTTTGATGATGTTATTGTTAATGATGCATGGATAAGATAAGATGACTAGAAATGAATATTATTTGTGGTGGTACTTCAAGTACAAGGAGTATCTTATTTGTCTAAAATAAATCTCTGTTTTTTACCTTTACCGCTGGGTTTGCCATCACATTTTAACATTAACAGGATTCCAGGGATTAATGGAAACATATTTTCTCCCCTCTCACTTACCACATGAATCATGATGGCTACTTTTGACTCCTTGCGCTAAAAAGGAAGAAATTTGTACGTATTGTCCAACTTCATTTTGAGAAACGGGATTATAAATATTTATTTTCTGTTTTCAAAAACATATGTCAAGTCAATTGCATGTCTGGTGGACAAAATTATACCAATCGCCACCTTCAACTGGTTTATTTTACTTTGCTTTGCTTCCCCTGACTGCGGAACAATATTTTGATGACCAAAATTTAAATTATAAATGAAAAGGCAATGATCCGAGACGTTTTTGGTACAACAAAGCGAAGCATTAGCATCAAAGCGTTCAGAAGTAAGCTTTTTGAGAGACGTTTTTGTTATACTTTAAGTCATAACAAGAACTAAAACGATGAACAAAGAACAAGGAACACAAATTATGCAAGGGTTCCTCCAATATAGGAGTACCTCCCTGAGCAATGAAACCTCTTATTAAATCCAATAAAAGAGAACTAACAAACTCTCAATAGCTCTCAAGATTACAAACAGATGCCTCACTCTCTTATATATTAAACTGCTCCTAAGGCCATCTCCAGTTATAGGCTATATCCCAAATATAGCCTGAAAATAATGCAAAACTCATCTTCAGTCAGGGGCTAAACAAAATTTTGGCCAAATTTGAAGGGCCACATTTTACCTTTTAGCCCGAAAAATTATATTTTCAATTCATATTTTAAATGTTTAAAATGTTTTCAATTCATGTTTAAAATGTTTTAAAATGTTTAAAATGTTTTCAATTCATGTTTTCACACATATTTTTTAAATGTTTTAAATGTTTCAATTTGTGTTATTTAAGAAAAAATTCAACACGTGTAAAATCATAGCCCAAAAAATTATTAAGATTCCTTTAGGATAAGACGTGCTACGTGGATACAAAATCTTATCAGAAATCTTGTCATATATGGAATATTGTCTCTAAATAGTAGTTTAATTAAATTAAATAATACATAGTTGTGGAATGTATGAGTGTTATACCATAATTTTTCTCAAAATAATAAAATAGGGACCCTAAAATATAGCCATGCATGGCTGGAGATGGACAAATTTAGCCTTGCACTATTCTTTAAAAAATTAATATTTTGGAAGGCTAAATTTTTAGCCCTAGACTACATTTAGCCTTCTGACTGGAGATGGCATAAGATCATCTATTTGTACTAGATTGATGACAACCAAATCCTACTATACATAGGAAACCAAAAACTAAACTAAGTCATAATCCAAGCCCAACTTGGAAGCTTGCGTCCAAACCTCCCAAACATATTACAACTTGGATTCCTAACTTAGCCATGAATACAGAATCGATTTTGTACCAAACTTCAACAGTTTTTGGTCCAACAAAGTGACGCATAAGCATTAAAGCATTAAGGAGTAAGTTTTTTGAGACATAAATTGTTTTGACAATAAAAATTTATAAATCTACTAATTATTATTGAAGCATAATAATCGATTTAATATAATCAAATATAAATACTAATTCGCCATACAAGATGTAAAGAGGAGGGGGAAAATAAAAGTAAGAGAAATAAATTGTAAAAGCCACATGGATTATTATCTAATAATTATCTTCAAGACGTTATGAATTCTTAAATTTGCACTTGAGAAAGCTTTGGGAAGTGATTTTGGGGTTGTGGGTTCTCTATCATGTGCGCACATGGTTAATTGATCATGGGATAATAATAAACATGTTTTTTTTAATTATATGGAGGACAATATAAAAAGGCTAAAGTAGTAATTTGTCAAAGTCAGAATTGCATCAATAGTGGGCGTTTCATTAAAAGTAAACAAAAGCATTACAAAGATGACGTCGTTTGTACTGCAGAAAATTGAAAAAATAAAAATAAAAACCCCAATCATCTTCCTATTTTGAAAGCCCTTGCATTGCAACACGTCTCAAATGCAGAAGGGCATACACCGACCTCTCCACATGATTTTTTGGTAAGGGGAAGTGCGCCTGCACCTCTTTGCGCATCTGTGAGTCCGCTACTAATTGTCTATATAGATAATAACAAGATATAAATGACCAAAATTTCGATGACCAAAATTTAAATTATAAATGAAAAGGCAAAGAGCCAAGACATTTTTGGTACGACAAAGCGAAGCAGTAACATCAAAGCGTTAAAGAGTAAGCTTTTTTAGAGACCTTTTTGTTGTACTTTAAACCAGAACAAGAACTAAAATGATGAACAAAGAACAAGGAACACAAACTATATAAGGGTTCCTCCAATATAGGAGTACCTCCCTGAGCAATGAAACCTTTTATTAAACCCAATAAAAGAGAACTAACAAACTCTCAATAGCTCTCGAGATTACAAACAGATGCCTCACTCTCTTATATATTAAACTGTTCTTAAGGCTATATCCAGTCATGGGCTATATCCCAAATATAGCCATAAAATAATGCAAAACTTATCTTCAGTCATGGGCTAAACAAAATTTTGGCCAAATTTGGAAGGCCACATTTGGCCCATTAGCCTAAAAAATTATATTTTCAAATTTTAAATGTTTTAAATGTTTTAAAATGTTTAAAATTCAATTCATGTTTTCAATATTTTAAATGTTTCAATTCATGTTATTTAAGAAAAAATTATAAAAAAATTCAACACGTGTCACTCAAAAATCATAGCCTGAACAATTATTAAGATTCCTTTAAAATAAGACGTGCCACGTGGACACAAAATCTTATCAAAAATCTTGTCATATATGGAATATTATCTCTAAATAGTAGTTTAATTAAATTAAATAATACATAGTTGTGGAATGTATGAGTGTTGTACCATAGCTTTTCTCAAAATAATAAAATAAGGATCCTAAAAATTTATAAATAAAATTGGCGTTTCATTAAAAGTAAACATGAGCACTACGAAGATGACGTCGTTTGCACTGCAGAAAAATGAAAAAAAAAAAAAACCCAAGTCATCTTCCTCTTTTGAAAGCCCTTGCAACACACCTCAGATGTAGAACATTAGCACCAGCAAAAGGGCATACTCCAACCTCTTCACAGGATTTTTTGGTAAGAGGAGGTGAAGTTATACCTCATTACGTCTCTGTAGGTCCGCTACTAATTGTTTACTAAGATAATAAGAAGATATAAATAAACCAAATTCATTGAATAACATTTTTTTTAATACAAAAATAATAATCTAAACTACAAGGGCAAGCATGATTTCTCACTCACACAATACTAAAGTGTCATGGAATTCAAATATGAAATAACTGGTTTGTGCAAATCAAGATCCTTTCTTACTGAACTATACCTAGTTGGATGTCCGCTACCACTAGGTTCTTATTATGCCAATCATCCAACGGGCATTTGCCACGTGGCGCGATAGGGGACTCTCCGATGGAATTTTTCCAGAAATCCGACGGTCCTCATTTTTTTGGCTAAAAAAATTGCAAAAAAAATTGAAAAAAATCTGAATTTTTTTTTAAAAAATACCAAAAAATTCTGTATTTTTTCTCTATAAATACCTAACCATTTTATTTACTTTCCACACTAAAATCTTCATACAATTTCTTCTCCATCCCATATTTTTTACTCTTTACTCACATTATTCACTTTCCACACCAATTCTCAATTTGAGAGGATGAAAATCTTATCAAAAATCTGAGATTAAATTTTTTTTAAAATATCTGAAAATGTTATCTGACATTTGGCACAATTGTAGAGGGTGAAAATCTAATCTGAAATCTGAGATTAAATTTTTTTTAAAATATCTGAAAATGTTATCTGACATTTGGCACAATTGTAGAGGGTGAAAATCTAATCTGAAATCTGAGATTAAATTTTTTTTAAAATATCTGAAAATGTTATCTGACATTTGGCACAATTGTAGAGGGTGAAAATCTAATCTGAAATCTGAGATTAAATTTTTTTTAAAATATCTGAAAATGTTATCTAACATTTGACACGTGGCACAATTTTAAAAGGAATTTTCTTTGAATAATTTTTATTAAAATCTAAAATACTGAAAATTAACTACGAAACTTTAAATGCCGTTTTGGAAGGCCAAACGACCTCAAAATGCCAAAATCCATCATATGTCACGGCAATGCAGTGAGTTTGACTCGTGGCGTCGTTCCCTTTCCGAAATGGTATTTTGCGTCTTAATCGGAGCTCGGACGACAAATCTGCAAATTCCCACTACGTCCTTTTTCTAGCTCAAGCGATAAAATCTGACATTTGTTCTACATCAGACGTGGCACAATTTTAGAGGGTGAAAATCTTATCCGAAAATTTAATTACAAAAGATTATCAAAATTAATGGTTTAAACTATAAAAAAATAGAAAATAAAGTACAATGAATAGTAATTGCCTTAGACTTGCCCTAGACTTTGCCCTTGTAGGTGGAACCACAAATGCAAAGGCTGACACTATTCACATGAATAGTGGCAGCCCTTGCTTGCCCTTACCTTAGACTTAGCCCTTGTAGGTGGAGATGCTCTTAATTAGTTGCGGAATTTTCATGGATGTTTACAGTTCAGTGTGAACTACTTATAGTGTTCATGATCCCCTGCCGTGAGTGAGAAAATATAGGAATAATATATGGCGCACGTTTTGCCATAGTCTACGTTTTAGGAAATATACATCAAATACTGCGTTGGGTTTTTTTATTTTTTTATTTTCTAAACTTTGTTTTATTGGGTTCAAGTTCGACTGAACTCCATAATCATTTTTGCTTTGACTAGTCAACAGTTTTTGTTCGGCCCAAAACATTACCCCTAGCTGGTGTCTTATTTCAAAGACAGAAAAGCCCAAAAAAAAACTGATGAGAAGCTTTTGTCCAGCCCAATATATTTAGCGCACAATTTTCTCAGAACTCGAGAAAACCCAAAAGAGCATCCCCGTTCCGCCGACGGTTCTAGGCTCCAATTGGTTGGGCAAATAGCGGACCCAATATAGTAATTTGACGAGAACAGAAAGGAATTATTTAAGCGGTTGCTTGTTGGGTTTTGATTTGGTGATGGGATATCTATTCGGAGCTTTCTACACGTGTGCTTCGTGCACGTCCACGTAAACACCTAAAAACATGAAGGGAAATACAAAAAGCTTTTTTCTAGAGGCCCCCCTACAGAAAAATGCTTTTTCAGAGAGGGGTCCTCCAACCTCATAGTGCACTTTCTTCTCGTGTGCTTTTTTTTTTTTAACTGAAATGAAATGGCTGAATCAATGCCCCCTCTTTTCATCCTTCCATTCTGCCACAGCAAATATGCAAATAAATGCAAATTTAATATTATATGTATATATTGCTCATAAAAAATAAGGATTGGGTTTGTCTATGTCCCCAAATAATTATAAGTTCCCCTTCATTCCGTTGATTAGATCATTCAAGTTTTTTTCACATTCGATAGTTAAAATTACTCGAAATTATTTGAAGAAGGGACTTAAATTTGGACTCGAGAGAACAAATTTACTGCTATGATCAACTGGCCTAGATCTTATTTAAGGTTTGTTGTATACCTAGAAGAAACCTTGGAATGGGCACAAGAGAAGGAGAACACAAAAACCCCATGACCATGAGCGTAGTGAATGGCATTTATCAGAGGCACATGAAATGAGATGAAAACGAAAGCGGCCACCTCACTCACTCTCACTGTCATTCACACTGATTGGGTCAAAATTGTACACAACCCGACCCATCTTCATCTCTTCATCCCTTCATCCTATCATCCCATGATCATGATCGTCTATCTACTACAGCAAAATGTAATCTGGATAACACAGCACAATCCAACCCTCCACCCAATCCTCACATCCCACGTGGCATAAAGCGCACTCTGTCACTATCAATCCTCTGGATACCGATCAGGAAGTGAAGAGTACCCTTTTCCCAATGCTTTGCTTGGCTCAACTTAATTTAATATTTCCCCAGCGGGTTCAAGCTGCTGCTGCCTCCTCTCTCTGTCTGTCTGTCTTTGCTGCCTCCTCGCCAAAAACACTTTCCCATGCCATGCCCTTTCTTTTTATCTCCTTTTCGCCCCTTTAATTCATTTTCTTCCCTTCCCCCGCAACCTAACTAGGTTTAGCAGTCAAGTCACAGAAAGCAACAGTTTTTTTAGGAGAAAGAGAGAGAGATGTGCAACAAGAAGAGTCCACCTCTTCCTCCTTCTGCTACTCCTACTTGTCATGATGATGATCCTGTGCAAACCAGCTCTATGATTCATAATATCATCAAGGAAGAACAACAAGAAACCTCCACAGACCCGGCAGCAGCTCACCGCAAATCCAGAACCAAGACCAGGAAGCCCAAGTTCTTAAGCCTCCGATCCCAACTCTCGCTCCCCAAGCATGATCACGACCAAGATTATTACACAGTATCAGATTCGACCACTACAAATACAATGACCGCCGGTCAACGCCACCAGCTCAACCTCTTCCCACTCCACCCGGGAAACCTTGTCGACCACCAAGAGAAAGCCGACATGCAGGACGACAACGTGGCCTTGCTCTTCCACTCAGAAGGCGGAGCCACCCTCAACGGCCTCCTCACATCCACCTCCACCGCCACGACCTCCACCTCGACAACCACCACAATGTCATCTGACCGAGAGGACCAAGAGTCGTTTTCCACCTACGCCTACTATAACATTGTACGGACGGCGATGAGGAGCAGAGAGAGGGAGACGAGCGTGGAGAAGTGGGTGTGCTACTCGGAGCTGGTGGACAAGAAGGAGGAGCAGCCTCGTCGTGACGTGGAGGTACGGTGGAGGAGCGGGACCTTGGCTTTGAAGCTTGATTATGAGGAGATCTTGAATGCTTGGTCTGATAAGGGCCCACTTTGCATTGATGGGGACCCACCACAGACTGTTCCTGACCAGCTTTTTCAGCTCCATGATAACACTCCCAATGTAAGAAACTTTTTCTCCTTCGTCTTTGTTTTTGCTATTCATTTGGGTAATGATGTCCTGTTTCTGATATCACCTTAAACTTGATAATTTTTTATGTTTATGAAATTAATGTGATGCATTAATTCATATCTTTTTTGCGTTTTGATTGAATCTAAGTATTATTCATTTCATTTCCAATTTGGTTGGTTTACTTGCTTGGTGGATGGAATGGAAGTGGAACCTACCACCTGTTGCATTTTAATTTGGACCCTAGTGCAGTGCAGCACATTGCCCAGCTGGGGCTAGCTATGGGCAATATGGGCCAATGCCCCAACTTGCCAAACATTATTTTCAGTTTGTAAGTTGTTGTTGTAACGTGTAAATTTGTCATGGATGGAGCTCAGGGTGAGGGATGTGATGGGAATTTATGGAGGGTCCCAGGAGGAGAGGATGAGAGCCTGAAAACGAAGATGGGGAAAACTCAAAGAGAGGCGAGTGTATTGAGATACAAGGAAAAAAGGCAAAACAGGCTTTTCTCTAAGCGGATCCGATACCAAGTTCGAAAGCTCAATGCCGAAAAACGACCCCGTATGAAGGTATACTCTACTCCCTCCTCCTCCGCTTATAAATTAATTAGGAATTAGGATAACTAATTTTAGTATTTGTTGCACAATGTAACGTAACTGCAGGGTCGATTCGTGAAGAAGAGAAGTTGAAGTTTTAATCAAAGCGTAGAGAATACGAGCGAGCGACATGCAGAATATTAGCTAGCTAGATTCCAAGAGGATAGATAGGTTTTTGGTGCTTCAACTATCTATTACCACTGCAAGTCTTTTTTGTTTCTCTTCCTAATCTATTTTGCTACCTAATTGTTAATTACGTTGCGCTTGCGCGCGAGAGAGAGAGAGAGAGAGAGAGGAATATGTTTCTTGCATATTTATATATATATATATATATGTATGCACAAATCAAATCGTATCATACACAAAGATATACATATGATCATCACAATCCCAATGCGACATTAACCTATAAATGAAATGTTGTTTATATATGTAGCTGTCTAAGCATGCAATTGCCAAATTCAGATGTAAAAGAAAGAAAAAAAAAATAACAAAATGATTTGATTAATTGGTTTTTTTAATTTTATTTTTAAAATCTAACAAATTTATAAACTGGATTCTTCTGGTTGGTTGTAATTTATAAGGTTTCTGTCTATGTTGATGTATGATGCAAGTGCAGTCCTCCTATAGATAGATATAGATGTAGCTATAGCTAGCATGCATGCACACTCCCCAATGAATCAGTCCACACCAGAGAAGAGAGTTAAGAGCAAGAAACAAGAAGAAGAGATTCTGTAAAACCAATTAAGATAAGATGGATGAACAGTGAACCGATCATGTGACTGAATGACTAACTGTGTGATATATATACATATAGCCTTGATTGATCTTCGACCAAAAAAGGAAAAAGAAAAAGAGAAAGCCTTGATTGATAGATTGATCGATAGAAAAAGGGAAGAAGCCTCTCTCCCCATTAATTGATAGTTATAGAATCCAAAGACAACATTTCCCAAAGTATGAAAACCAACAAACTAGAGAGATCTGGCAACCCCTTGCAGCAGCATTCATTATCTGTAGCAAAGTTCAAACAACGTTGCTGCTCCTCAAGAACAAGAACGTACGTGTTGTGTTTTGACCCAGCTGAGCTCCAACCCCATCATCCATTGCATTGCACTGACAGAAATTTATTAGTTTATTATTTGTTCAACTGTCATGTTAAGCTAGCTAGTCGCATGGTTCACCTTAAAATTAACTTCTCTAGCTTTTTGGGTAAGCATGCTGTCATTACATTACATGTACATGTTCCATGTTAATGGTGACCACCAAGCACAAGCAGCTAGACAAATAAAATTAAAATATCTGATTGCGTACCTTGAGCTTGAGCCAAGAAAGAATTGCTGCTCCGTGCAATTAATCTGAGCTTATATATACATGTAATCACTAAGATCGTGAGACTTTATATGTATATACATGTAATCACTAACTCTTACCTTCATTGGAAGATCATATTATATAAGAAGAATATATAGCATCGGTAACGAAGGGCATATCTGCATATATCTGGAACTGGAACTGCAGGAAGATCATAATATATATATAATATGTTGACAGAAGAAAAGAGAGCACAAAACTGATCATACACAATCATTTTCCTGGATCTGGGTGACTGGGTGTATATGTTCATTTGTGCTCTCTATCTTCTGTCAACCACAACATCGTGCTCGTTTTGCTAATTAAGCCTCTGAAGCTTTTCCATGGAAGCTAAGGCTGCTGCTGGCGGCCGCCTTGTCTTTTTGTTGCGAATTTGATTCTGGGATAAACAAAGACTTAGTGTTCCAGGAACACCGGTGGATAATTAAATGATTTGATTGGAACACAAAAATATCTTTTTCTACTTTATGATAACAACCACATCACGTTACTGAAGCAATGACGGGTCTTCTAGGTTGCTTCTTGTCCATTCATCTTGACTTACTCTATAATATATTAATATAGAGGACCAAGTTACTGTAAATTATTATAGTCTCTGATATATATGACATCATTGTTTATGTGGCACTGTATTTAAAACTTAGAAGAAAAGAAAAAATCATTAGAGGATAATCATGAGATATATGTAGCAAGGATAGCACATATTTTACCTTATGAGAAAAGTAGAAAGATAGGAAGACATTCATGCATCCAATTATTATTAAAATCAAACAGAGATTTGAGAGATCTCATCTTTATAAAACATATACGTGTTAGATTGCCTTGATCATGAAAAGGTTGAAAATGCAAAAGATGTTATCTTAAGAGACACCAAAGTTGAGGTCAATGTAGCGCTTAACTCATAATATTCAGAGTTGCTAATTAAGACCAACTAGTTATCGTCCGCATTCCGTATTGCAAAATCCCCAAATTTATACTGACGTGGGCCTTATCTCGTGTTTTCGTCCATCTACCTTTGGGCCAGGGATGCATGAGCCTAGCTTACTGAGATTAGATGATTCCGTCTATTCTAGCCCAACATTTAGAACTTGTGTTGTAATTCTAAAGCATGAGGTTCAGAAACCTCCAAGAAGGGTCATTCAGATTGAAGGTAATTAATCAAGAGTTGCACAAATAATTAAGTATGTGACAATATATAAATGTTTGATGTGTGTCATGTCTGATTTGTATAATATAAATCAAAGTGAGTGCGTAGCCTCTTTGCTTTGAACTGAATGATGGTTGGTTTGTGTTTCTGGTTGAATGAATCAGAATGAATGCATTGGGACATGGATGGACCAAACCAAATGGCATTGTCTAATCAGTAACAATCCCATCTAAAACAAAGTAAACAATGTTTAGTTAGAAATCATTCTGCTGGTGGCTGCCGGCCACTTGCCTGCCAAAAGCCAAAAACTTATGAAGTTGCTTCCCTGCACTGCAATACATAGTTCGCACAAAAAGAATGTTTTTTTATTTATTCTCGACAAAAATTAGCCATAGAATGGGCCTCACCCAGCACTCTCTTCTTTAATCTAATCATAATTACTTTATGCTTTAAACATTGGGCATACTAGTGATTGACCCCATGAACTTGTTCATAATTTTCAATGGACTCTCTATCATTTTTTTAGAAAGAAAATTAAGAATATGAACTTCTTTTTTTCTCCAATTTCCCCCATGCCGTATAAATCTGCATCATTTCGTCCAATTTGTCGTTAAACATGAGGGCAAAATGATCATTTTGTACATTAAAAATAAGTAATAAATAAAGTGAAAACCAGCAAATTCAAATAATACTCTCTCTCTCTCTCTCTCTCTCTCTCTCTCTCTCTCTGTGCAGGTGTAGACGAAGAAAACCCAAAGGGGAGGGGGGTGGCGAACTGGGGAAGGGGGTTAAAAAACAGAAGGGATGAAGTGATGGCATGGGTCTGTGGGGTGGGGGATTGGTTTGGGAGTGGAGGGTGGTGGTCATGGGGGAATGGGAGGAGAAGAAAAACAGGAGGAGAGCAAATAATAATACCCAAAAAATGTAGGAATTGTTGATTTAGTTATACTTCTTTTTAACATTATTATATATATAAAAACTGCAAATTAAATCGTCCCCAAAATAAAAAGAAAAGAGACCAAAATACAGAACGGGAATGAACATACAAAATGGGAAGGTGGGGGGAAGGGTCTGTGGGGGTAGGGGATTGGTATGGGAGTAAAGGATGGTGGTCATGGGGGAATGGGAGGAGGAAGGGAGGAGATGGAAGGGGTTGGCATTAGGTTTACTTTTTTTCTTCAATTTTTTCCAAAAAAATAATTTTTTAAAATAATTTAACTGTAAATTGGATGAATTTTTGAGAATTTAGACGGTATGGGGGAAATTGGTGAAAAAAAGAAATTCATATCCTTAATTTTCTAAAAAAAAGATGAGGCTCAATTGAAAGTTAGATACAAGCTCAGAGGGCAAATCACTAGTATACCCTTAAGCATTTATAATTCGGTTTGAGCATTAAAAGGAAGGGTAATGCCACTTATAATAAAGAGGTGGTACACAATACAGCATATAAATATAGTATACCTAGCATTGTCCTCAATGGAAATCACTTTAAGCTCAACCAATCCAGACTGATCAGGAACTTAGATATGTGGATAGCTTTTACTTTCAACTTTCAGATGGTTGCAGCAATTAAAAATGTCCAAACTTTACAAGCACTTTTTAAAAGCTATAGCTTTGGTGCTTTACTTTGCATAATTTTTTGTGCCAGCGCGCACGCGTGGGAAATTTATATTACAATTGAATTTGAAACTTAAAAAGAGGAAAAAAAAAAAAAATCATAATTTTGAGTTTGACTGCCCTTCGGACAAAACCAAATAGAAACATGAAATCAACCCTAATTTTTATAAACACAGTAGATGTAGGGCAAACTAAACTCCGTTCCATCAGCCATTACAACGCTTAAAAGGACACACCAAGAAGTCCCCTAGCTATTAGCTAACATTTTTAATATAATATATGTCTAGCTAGCCAAGGTCATGAGGAAGGCAAATTAATTTGAGCCGAACTTACAAACTTTTTGAATTTTTACTGGTTAGTAATTAATGAAGAGAGATTAATTAAAGATCAGCAAGTCGTTCATACACTAATCGTACGACACGTCGTAGAAGTTCCGATTCCATGAAGCTTCATTGCCTTGATGGCTGGATCTTGGAGCAAAAGCACTTTGTCCTTGTCTCTAACACCCGCCATGTGTAGATATTCACCATCCTCTCTCTGTTTCCCTTTGTAAAGCAGCCTCTGCTCTCTTGCCTCCATGCCAGTCACCAATGACAATATCATCTTTAATTCGCCTGCAGATATTAACAAATTAATTCATCAAAACCCAATTCTAATTACCACTTGTTTACTTGATTTCCTCATAATTTTGTGCATATATACACATAGGAGAGGGAGAGGGAGAGAGAGAGAGAGAGAGAGCTTCATTACCAAATGTTGAAGTAGCTTCAATGGAGATGTCATGGCAATGGGACACAGCTGAGACTCTAACTGTGATCAAGACCTCTCCAGCACTGCTTTCAGCCGCAGTCTCTCTCCTTTGAACAAGCATGCCTCCTGGTCGAAGCTCCCATTTGATTTCACCATTGTTATTAGTGGCTCCTCCAAACTCCTTACTTTGATCAGCAGAAGCAGCAGCTTTAATCTTGTTATTATTACTGCTAATGAGCTTACAGCTGCTAAAGCTTCTGCAAAACCTCTTTGACCTCAACTTAATCATGTTGATTAATTCCTCTCTGCTTTTTCTGAATTAACCTCTTTAGCCTTTGCTTTCTCTCTCAACTCAACTCAACTCAACTCAACTCAGCCCAGCTGAAATGCCAAGGGGTTGGCTACTTATATAATATAACAAGCATTCGACAAGGACAAATTAAATAAGCGCATCGCTAAAGTACAAGCCGCCCGAAGGTGTGTTGCAAAAAGTAAAGACTCACAAGAGTGGGTGGCCAATGAGAGGATGCCACAGGGGTGACAATATGGGCATAGTTTTTCCTTGCTTATTTTTATGGAAGGAAAGCCAAGGGCACATGGGGGTGGGTGCTGAGGAACACGCTTGCTTGATTGGCGGACCAAACACAAAATCAATGGCTCAATTGATTTGTCTTTCACAAATTATATATATGATGGCATAGCCTATAACCGGAGAAATTTTTGTATGTTTTGGATGCATTACAACTGAATTTTGAATAAGCATCTTAGATTGATGCGATTTAGCATGTTAATAGATCTGAAATTAATGTGGCATGGAATGGAATATATGTTACATTAAATTAAGAAATGAGTGAAGCTAGCTTTTCTTTTATTTCGTCTTCATCTGTAATTTGTGATTTTGGTTGGGTTTTTATGTTTAGTTAGGTGGGTGTTGAAGATTTCTTTTGGGTTTACTTTTCCTAAGGGTGGTTGGCTAATCTCTCTAGGGTATCAATCCACATGGGAGAGACCTTAAATAATTACGCATTTTCTCTCTCTCTCTCTCTCTCTCTCTCTCTCTCTCAACCATGCCCAATTTCTTAACATTGAATATTTCGTCGTCCAATTCACAGAATATATGGCTAGCTAGCCAAATTCTTTTAAAATGATCCTCCAAAATTAAAGGATAAGTAGCTCAAATTGGAACAAAGAAGACATCATTGAGTTTGAATAACCTCTTGATTTTATTACTGATTTTCTATTTGAGAAATGTAACTACGAGTTTTACGGGGAGTGCTCTATTAGAGATAAGGTTCCTTCTCCCGCTTGCAGTTGAGAAGGTAGTCTACTTGGCTAGCCAACGACCAATAATTCCTATTGGTGTAGACATTCACGAGATTGAAAAATTGATCTCCATATCACCAGCACATGGTAGTAAGGAGGATAAAGAGAATAAATTTGTACAAGAGGTTTGGCGACAAAGGACACTCCACATGTAACATTATCGTAGAAGAAGAAATATTAGGTATGGACTTTGGAGAACCAATATATATACAACGTATCATGCATAGTTTTGCATATATACACTCTAAAGTAATGTAAGATTTAAAAACATGTGAAATGGGCCCTCTACTCTCCTATAGGCTTATGGTATGGGCTAAAAGGCACCGTTACAGTTGATCATTTAGTCACTTGTATTTTTGCCTTTTTAAATGCCTAGCTATATAGCTGCTGCAGCCTACACTCTGATTCTTCTTTCAAATTCTCATAATATCAATATGAATTTATTAGAACACTATCGCTCAATCTTAAAATGATACAGATTTGGTGAGAGATTACCCTTAATTAGGGAGCTGTGATGATTTGATACCGATCGAGCTAGCTAGGCAAGCTCATGCAAAATACCCAAAAAAAAAAAAAAAAAAGCAAAGCCCAAAAAGGAAAAAACAAAAAAACAATGGAAAGAAAAAATTGCATGCAGCACAAGATTGATTCTTTGACGCACCCCATAAG